TTTTCATGCAGTGCGCATTCCCTTGATGTATGCAATGTGACCTTAGGAGTACCCTGTGGTTCCTAGAAGGCCTGGAGAACGTACGTGGGCCCTCTTCTCTTTCCCTTGTGTTCATTCTGGTGAATTAAGTCCTTTGTAATAGTTTTGGTGTAGGTGGTTTTTGTGTTTTTGTTTGGTTCCTTTTTTCCTTTGGCTTTATGAGACAGTCTTTGCCTATAGCTCTGGCCCAGAACTTACTGGCTTTGCAGTTTTGACCAGGATTTATTTTTTTCTTCCTTCCTTCCTTCCTTCCTTCCTTCCTTCCTTCCTTCCTTCCTTCCTTCCTTCCTTCTTTCCTTCCTTCCTCTTTCTCTCTCTCTATTTCTTTTTTGAGACAAGGTCTCTCTGTGTATCCCTGACTGTCCTGGAACTCACTTCATAGACCAGGCTGGCCTCAAACTCAGAGATTCACCTGCCTCTGCCCCCCGAATGCTGAGATTAAATGTGTGCACCATTACACTTGACTTATACATGAAATATAAAATGCAGTGCTTGTATTAATTTGTTTCTTCTTCTTCTTCTTTTCTTCCTCCTCCTCCTCCTCCTCCTCCTCCTCCTCCTCCTCCTCCTCCTCCTCCTCCCTTCTTTTTAGTTTTTTGAGACAAGATTTCTCAGTGTAACATCCCTAGCTGTCCTGGAACTAGCTCTTGTAGATCAGGGTGGCCTCGAACTCACAGAGATCCGCCTACCTCTGCCTCCCGAGTGCTGGGGTTAAAGGCGTGCACCACCACTGCCTGACTTGTGTTTTCTTCTTAAGTATAATTATTGAATTATGTAACTTAAGTGGCATATATAAATGAAGGTGTATTTTATATTGACAGCTGGATTTTGGTCAGAGAACAATTTGCTTCATTTCTTCCTTTCCTCCCCACCCCCTTCTTTCTGTGTGTGCACTCAAGTGTGGGCCTGTCTGTGTAGCCCTCGAGACCCTGCTTGTCCTGGTGCAGTCACCCCACCCATCAGGGAGGAGCAGCAGCTTTCTGGGCACCATGCTGCTGGCCAGGGCTTGCCCACCTTGTACCCTGCCCACAGTGTTCTTCCCACTCTTCTCCAATTAGCCCCTCACATCTTTGCTCAGATGCCGACTCCTCTCCAGGCCCTGCTGGATCCTTCTTTTTATAGCACAGACCACTGTCTGATACTGACGTGGGTTTGTGAACCTGTGTTCCCTGTTAACATGGGAACGCCAAGAATCCCCAGTCTATCCGCTCAGCCCTGGGCAGTGGTCAGGGCTGAGTGAATGTCGAATGAATTCATGAATGGGGTGTAGACATTAGGTCTCTTGCCTTCATTCGTTGTCTTTTACTGAAAATGTGAATATGCAAGGCTCCATGTGATTTTCTTTGTTGTTTTAGCCTCTCCTTGCTTACCTAGACAAAGCTTCTGTCAGTTTCATAACAGTAGAAAAGAGGGGAGGCCGGGTCCATACCCTGCTGCAGTCAAGATGCATAGATAACTTTCAGTCCTTAGCACTGTTTCTCTTTTCCTCACCATTGACCTGCACTAGGCAAGTCTGGTTTTAAAAAAATCATTAAAATCTAGTATGCTTATTTAGAGTGGAATAAAGAACCACCTACCACACCTGTGACCTTATTGCAGGAGGATCAGGCGGTCAAGGCCGGTCTTAGCTCTAGGTTAGCTTGAGCTAAGAGACCCTGTCTCAAAAGAGTAGAGCTGAGGAAAACAAACTGAACCAGAAAAAGCACATTCCTGCTGCTAAATGGCATCTCCACCCCATTCATGGCACATTCTTCTATGGTACAAATAAGAACATCCGAATCCTTGGGAACGTGCCCCACACGTTGCTGTGTATTGCTGAGGCTATTGATATTAAAGTCTACTTTGATGGCTCTTGATGACTTGTGAGCCATTGGCCTTTTTATTTCCTTGTTTGCTTGTTTGAGACAGGGTCCTTGTAACCCAGGCTAGACTTTAACTGACTTTGTAGCCAAGGATGACCCAGAACTCCTGGTCCTCCTGCCTTTATCTCCCAAGTACTGGGGTTACAAGTGTATTCTGCCATGCCCTGCTTTCTTGCCACTTTTAGATTTGATTTTAGATTTGATTTTGGCCTATTTGTGTGTAAGCCTGTGCCGTGTATTGGTGCCTGCAGAGGCCAGAATGGGCATTGGATCTTCCGAAGCTGGAATTCCAGGTGGTAGTAAGCTGCCTAATTTGGGTGCTGGAAGCAGCCCTCAGGTCTTCCGAAAGAGCAGCAAGCACTCTTAACAGCTGAGCCATCTCTCCAACCCCCCATTTTTAAAATTTATTTTTTAATTGTCTATATTAAAGGTAGATAACATAATGTATTTTTGTTTGTTTTTGTCTTGAGGCAGTCTCGCTAGTAGCTCTGGCTGGCCTGGAATGCTCTGTGTACACTAGGCTACTTTCCTCTGCCTCTGGACACTGGGTTAAAGGTGTGTGCCACCACACCCAGCCCTGCCACATTATGTTTTGATGTATAAGATTAGATAGGTCAGAAAGCAGTTGACAGAGGTTGACCTGATATTCATAGAATCATCTAGTCCTTAAAAAAACAAAAAAACAAGGCCGTTAGTGGTGGCACACACCTTTAATCACAGTGTTCAGGAAGCAGAGGCAGGCAGATCTCTGAGTTTGAAGCCAGCCTGGTCCACAGAGCAAGTTCTAGGATAGCCATGGCTACATAGAGAAACCCTGTCTTGAAAATCAAAAAATAAATAAATAAATAAATACCAATCTTCTTAAAATAAATAAGTAAATAAATAAAAAGAATCTAGTCTTGTGACTCCAAGATTGATTGGGCAACAGAATTGCCTAGGTTGGAATAAGGCTCTGATGTGGAACATACCACACATATATTATCCCCTCCTCCCATCCCTTCAAATGTAGCTGCCCCTTGGTATCTGTACAGTATTTGTTCTGGTCCTCACGTTCTTGTTTTGTACGTCTCATGTGCATCCCTTCGTGTATTTTAAGTCATCTTTCGATTGTTTAGAATACCCAACACGATTAGAATGCTGTGGGAATGGTTTCGGAGAGTGATGAACGGAAGAGATGAGTGTGTGGAATCTGGGCTTAGGCTGGACATATGTGTATCCCTAGTGGGCCAGACAGAGGAAGGAGGCAAAGAGAGGCAGAGATGAGAGGGGCTTCTGAGGAGGCAGTGTTTATCTTGCAACTAGAAATATTAGAGGAAGAGCATTTGGGCAGGAAATGGGGAAGTGTGTTCCCAGGATTAAAAGCAGACCAGTGTGGTTTGACCACAGTGAGTGACTAAGAGAAGAGCTGGGCTTACAGCAGGGAGGCCTTGAAAATACCCACAAGACAAACCTTCATTCTCCCGGGACCTTTGAGTTCTGTGTGGAAAGTGGGTTGTAGAGCTGAGGAGGCAACCCTGAGACCTAAACTGTTCCCCCATGACTAGTGGGACCAGAACAGAGGTTCTAAAGATGAGAAGGGAAGTCAGCGGGAGCTGCTGTTGGTGAGGGAAAGAGTGTCACTGACAGCTTCTGCTAGAGTCCCATGGGGCATATCCTATGTGGGGTGTGAGCAACAGTGTGGTGCACACTCAGACTTGACGTAGATACTAGAACTGGTGTGGATGGTGGCCATTTAGACAGTGAGCCCAAGCTGAGCCTTTGGTTTTGTGTCTGTCACTCTATGCTGAGCCGTCATCCTTTGAGCTTTTGTGTTAACGCCCTCATGGTCCATAAGGACCCACATTTAACATATTAACGTTGCACCAGGCATGATAGGTTGCTGTGGTTTTCTGTGTCTCCTCGGATTCAGATTATTTGAGCTATCCATAAATGGTGCCGTTCCAGACAAAACACAATGCCTAACTGGTAGGAGGAAGGTGTGACTGGGAGGAAGATGTCCGGTTTCTGAGTGGTCAGAGAAACTTCTTTTGGAATAGAGCTGTGTTCCTATTTTCCGCACGCCTGGTTGTCTAGAGCAGGCACAGGCACTGCCCAGTGGGAGACAGCATCACGTCCTTATTACCGGAAGTTATAGGTCGCCGTGTGCTAGGATGAAGAACAGAAGAAAGCTAAGAATGTCAGTGGAACTCCCCCAGACTGTCAGGGTTCTAGTGATACATCTTAAAGAAGTGTTTGAAGTGCTTCTATCTGTCAGCTTCAACTAAGCTAATTTTAAAAAATTGCTCTTTGTACTCTGCCTTTCTCATGAACCTCTGTGAATTTAATGCATACAATATGTGGGAGGAAGCCTGTCAGCCTCGGCTCCCATCTCCCAGAGTCTGAGAAGTGGATTTTAGAAGTGCATGATTGCACCTGCAAGGATTCGTCATCTTATGGAATGGGACCTGAGACCATTTTCAACACATATCTAGGAAAGCATTGCAGGAGGAGGTGAGAGAGCGTGCTGGCCCCGCCCTCCATTGCCCCCTGTTTTGTTGCACCTCAGACGACGCAGGGAGGACTGTTCCTCATTACCAGGGAATGTGAGTCATTCCCAGATTTGTGTGATTGGGATTCCAAAGCGTTGCTGTATCCGATGGCCTTATTAAATCCAAGTGTCAGAGCAGCCTTTCAGACTGTAGGGGAGCACTCAGTTACAGCTGGTGACCTGGTTCTAGTTACCACACAGAGACGCTGGCGAGAGCAGGGGCCCCCTCCTAGTGCCCAGAATTCCATGTGCGTGGCTAGATTTGGGGGTTTGTCTCCTGACTCACGTCATGGGCTCCATTACATTTCAGCTCTATGTTTATGTCCTCACTGGGATCTGTAGACTTCAAGGGGAAGTGAGTGCCCCAGTGACCCAACAACCTGCTGCCAACAGTGCCTAGCATTGCAGAGCACCTCTTTGCAGATTCCCTCAGCCCAATGGGCCGCCCAGGATCTAGCAAACACAATCCATTTCCAGCTTGGTCCAAACAAAACAAATAAAACATTCACCAGAGAGGGAGGAAACTATAAATGTTGCCAGAAAATTAGTATGCTGTTTTTTCCTTCTTCCAGAATGTTTCACAGCCAATGGTGCAGATTACAGGGGAACACAGAGCTGGACAGCACTGCAGGGCGGGAAGCCATGTCTGTTCTGGAACGAAACATTCCAGCATCCCTACAACACGCTGAAGTACCCCAGCGGGGAAGGTGGATTGGGTGAGCATAACTATTGCAGGTAAGATGGGCCGTAGTGCTGTGGGGTGATCTCTGGTTCCTCCAGTTCTATCCAGCCCTACTCATAACAGCAGTGCTTTCTTGTCTCCTCTTGGCCAACTCAGAGAGCCACATCATTCTTATTAAAATGGATTAATCAGTGCAGGAGAGATGGCTCAACAGTTACGAACACAGGCCGCTCTTCCAGAGGACCCAGGTTCAGTTCACAGCACCCACAATACCGCTCAGAATAGTCGGTAACTACAGTTCTGGGGGATCCGACACCTTCTTTTGGCCTCTGCGGTCACTGCCGATGGGAAACACACACAAGAAATAAAAAACATAAAGATGAAATCAGTCTCTTCCTCTGTCTTCCTGTCTGTCTTGGTCTCTGTCTCTTTCTCTCTCTTTTCTCTAACTTAGTTTACTTTCATACTGGCTTTCAGAGCTGTGTCCTGTCTGGTCACTCTTGTCTCTTTGGGAGGATTTTCTCAGGTAAGTCTCCCACCAGTGAGCGTTTCACCAAAGCTGCTGTTCAGGCTATCTGGGACCCAAACCTCCCTCTACCATGTTCCTAGGCTGTGCTTGAACTCCTGGATTCAGGTAGCTCTACTCTTCAGCATGCTAGCTGCGAGGCAGCAGGTATGCGCCTCTTTGGGCTCCAGCAGGGAACTCTGATCTCACCCCATGATCTTCAGGTATATATTTATGATTTTCTTGGGAGATGAGCCCCAGCCTTGGTCAGGTTCTAAGACTGAGAGTTACTAGATGGCCCAGTGGTTAAGGTGCTTCCTATGGATTCAGAGTTGGGATCCTGAGAACCCAAGTCAGTGCTGGGTTGTTGTAAAGCCCACCTGCCATTCTAGTGCTCCGAAGGCAGAGGTGAAATTCCAGGGGCATGCTGGCTACCTAGACGAGCCATGGGGACTAGTGTGAGACACTGTCTCTGTGAAGAATGTAGAGATCAAAGGAGAAAGCCTCCAAAGCCAACCTCACACCACCACATACATAAATCCACATGTACACACACACATACACACGGACAGACAGAAAGATAAAAATAGAATTACAAGTTTTTAGAAACTAGAGGAAAAAAATCCAAGCGCCTTGTTTATACCTTCAGCTCCTTACACCCGAGAGGGTGCTAGCATGACTCATGGTTCAGCAATGTGTTGAATTTAATCACTCTTGGGACAGGTGCACAAGCTGCCTCCTGCACCATTAGGACAAGAAAGAGTGACTGCAGAGCCCTACTCTGAGTTCTGGTTGTCGTACATGAACATCTCAATCACTGGCACTGTTGACCCAGCTGAGCCAACACATATATTTCTGATTGTGTGGGCCACTGTTTGCCTCCCATCCTCCGCATGCCCAAGCTAACACTCCAGGCTTTTGTGGTCCTTGTCTCTTTACATCACTTCTTTTTTTTGGGGGGGGGGCAAAATGAAAGATTTATTAACAGAATAAATTAATGACTGTATCCATAAGACAAATTCTCAATATTTGTAATTTACATTGTCTAGATTTTATTTCAGGCTTGGGTTTACTGAAAAAAATGCATCCTTGGGTTCATTTGTATCAAAAGAGAAAATATAGTTGTTTTAAAAGTAAACTTGTAATTGGTCATTTCCTTTTTATGTATTTATTTATTAAAGATTTCTGATTCTTCCCCGCCACTGCCTCCCATTTCCCTCCCCCCATAGTGGACAATGAGGACTACTGAGAACTCAAGAACAATGGCAATGGGTTTTTGTTCCTACTGCACGAACTGGCTTTGTGGGAGCCTAGGCAGTTTGGATGCTCACCTTACTAGGCCTGGATGGAGGTGGGTTAGGACTTCCCACAGGGCAGGGAAACTTGATTGCTCTTTGGGCTAACGAGGGAGGGGTCTTTACATCACTTCTATCCTAGCTTGCATCCACGGACTACCCCAGGTTTGCTGTCGCTGTGGTTCTTCATGTGTCACTGTAAGAGCAGGTTCGTTACAAGCCGGGCATGGCTGTGTGTGTGCCTGTAATCTCAGCAATTGAGAGGTTCTGGGAAGAAGATAAAGAGTCCAAGGCCATCCTTGGCTACATAGTGAGTTTGAGGCCAGCTTGGGCTATGTAAGATTCAGTCTCAAAAACCTAAATGGAGTTTCAGAGGGCTGTGAGCTACCTGAGATGGATTTTGGGAACTGGACTCCAGATCCACCTGGAGAACAGTGTGTGCTTTTAACCTCTGAGCCACCTCTCCAGTCCCTGTCCTTTGTGTTTTATGGTTAGTGCTACTTAGGCTCATTAATCAATTCTTCACTATCTTCAAAGTTCTGCATATTAATATTTTGTATACATCAAAGCTTACAGTTTGCTCAGGTGGTTTAGTGGGGAAAAGTGCTTGCTGCCATGCTTGATGACCTCACCCAAGGACAGAAAGAAAGGACCAACTCTGTATGTGTGCCGTGGCACATGCTCACTCACAAGTCTGCACAGACTCACTGCAGATAAGTAAGTGAACGTTTAAAAAAAATGCTAGGGAGATAACTTGGTAAAGTGCTTGCTCAAAGATCGGGCTTTGATTCTTCAGAACCCATATTAAAAAAAGCTCTGTACCAGGTAGTGGTGGCACACATCTTTGATCCCAGCACTCAGGAGGCAGAGTAGATCTCTGTAAGATCAAGACCAGCCTGTTGATCTTACAAGATCAACAAAATTGAACAAAGCAAGTTCCAGGGCAGCCAGGGCTGTTACACAGAGAAACCCTGTCTTGAAAAACAAACAGACAGACAAACCCCTAAAACAAAAAGAGTTCTGTGTGGTTGTGCTCTTGTAATCTCAACAGTGGGAGGCAGAGACAGGTAGGTCCCTGCAACTCTGGCTTGCCACTAGGCAAGTTTCAGGCCAGTGAGAGAAACCCTGCCTCAAAATTAAAAAAAAAAAAAAAAAAAAGATGAACAGCACCTAAAGAATGACACCCAAGGTTGACTTCTGGTCTCCAAATGTTCACTCATGCACACGTATTCACATGCACACACATTCACACACACTTGAACATGCACACATACATGAGCGTGCACAGACAGGTGACCATGCGTACACACACAAACCCCAGTGTTGCTCCATCTGCTCCATCCCCTTCCTCTAACATATGGCCACTTGTTGTCTAAGGTGTTTTTGCTTTGCTTTTCTTGGCAGTGCTAGGGAAATGTTCTCCACTGTGCTGTCCCTGAAGTATCTCCTGGTAGGTTGGTTTACCCTGTTACAAAGCATTCCCAAAACTCAGAAGAGCTATTTTAAATTTGACTCTAAGGTAAATTTTAAATTTCCAATGAGAGAAAAACAACATTTTACTAGCTGAGTGCACATGTCTGCTCATAGGAGTGCGTCTGTAAGCATACCGAGGGCTGTACCTGAGGGCTGTGAGCACCTTCCCCCAGTACCTTTCCCCTTAACTCCTTGGACTATAGCCCTCTGGTTTGATGGAATGTACCAGACCTGAATTACCAGTTTATACTTCAAAAGGAGAGAGGCTGAACCTCTCATGTTGATAATATCACATCAGAGCCCAGGCTTTTTGCTTTAGCGCTGCAGAGAAGTAAGGATGGGTCTACCTGCTCTTTATTAAGCTGTTCGACGCTTTTCAGAATGGCTTTGACGTTGATAATAAACACTTGTTGTCTAGGGGTTTTACCCAATACTACATCAAAGCTGAACTCGGGACAGAGGGAGGAAGATGCTGGTGAAATACTGTTTAAAGAAGGGCTTTGTACAAGCTCTGCCACTATGATTTCTCAGCTGATATCTGACACCATGTTTGTCTTGTGCGACTTTTCAGATTCATCTCATCTGAGATGTCTACCGGCTTTCCAGTGATGGGAACAGGCTTCTCCCGGCTGGGTCTGAAGTATCTGGATTAGAGGGGGAGGCAGGCCCAGGGAAGAGCAGAGTCGCCTCTTACACCTGCCTTTGGGCACAAAAAAGAAAAGAATCCTTTGTGCCTGGGAAGCTTATCTCTAGGCCACACAATGGGCTTGTCTGCTCAGGCCCATAAGCCTGCTGCCAGCTTGCTGGGGTGGGAGTGTTGGAGGGGGGGTCTTCATGTCCATTTCCTGCCTAACTGGAGTGTCAGGTTTCCAGTATTCTGAACCTAAATAAAGGAGGCTTGAGAAGGGGTGAAGAGAGGTGAGCTTGTCTCACTGTAGCTGCCCCTGTCATTTGTTGAACTGCTTCACAAGCACCACCCTTTATTGCGATGACATCTCTGCACCAAAATGACCTTGCAGGTCATTTACTCCAAGCTTCTCTCACTTGGGAATATGGAAATAAGTCTTTAAAAAAACATGATTGCCATGTTAGAAGTCAGTGTCCTGACTGAGAAGCCTCTGTGAGGTCTGTATGATGATGGAGGAGACCACTTCTGTATGTGTGAGGTAGCCAACCTAGGCTGAGTAGGCTTGCCAGCTGACATTGTGTTATGTGAGTTTATTTGGCTGTTTAGAAACAGTCATTATTGAAGAAGGTAGAAACTAAAATCAGAAAAGAAAAAAACAAACTAAAATTGCCAGTAGTCTTAACACCTAAGAACAAACATTCTTTAGACCTGAGATTTCCTTAAATATGCCTTTTCCAACTTCAGAGGATTGTATTGTCTGTAGTTTCATTATTATTTTGTTTATCTCAGCTTCTTGGGTGTTGTGATTACAGTCCCACGCCACTGTGGCCGACTTACGTTTTCCGTCCTGATGAGAAATGACATTGAAATGCACAGCAGTTATTAGAAGCAACAGGAAACAATTCTGTAAAGCTAAATGGGCCAGGTAGCTTGAAACCCAGCAGTATCATCAGTGTGTGCTTATTCCCAACAGAAATCCAGATGGAGATGTGAGCCCCTGGTGCTATGTGGCGGAGCATGAGGACGGCGTCTACTGGAAGTACTGCGATATTCCTGCCTGCCAGAGTAAGGCTGACACACACACCCGCTGATGGCTTAGAACAGGTTAACTCCTGTTGCTGGGTTTCAGTAGTGAGTGCAAAGAAAGGTATCATGGGTTATGGGCTTCCACTTCTCTTGTTGAGTTCTCAAGTACTAGGAACGCCCAGTTCCATGGCATACCATTTCCGGGTGTTTCCCAGGTGGGTAAGCTCAATGAAAAGTCCCATATTTGGTATTATTTAGCTTCAATTTCTCTGAAAAATGATAGTAACTGGTCACATAGGGCCCACAGCTCTTCAGTTCACAGTATCTATTGTGTTTTTAATGATGATCCATAACTCAGTCTCTTCAACCTTTTGTGCTTATGTATATGTGTATTCATGTGTGTGTGGATATGTGCATGTGTTCATAGGTATGCAGAATATATGTATGAGCATGTGTTCATAGGTGTGCATATATGTGTATGTGCACATATGTTCTCTGTGAGTGGAAGCTGAAGGTCAACTTGGGTGTTGTTCCTCAGGAGCCACGCACCTTGTTTGCTGAGCCTGGATCTCTAACTGGAACCTGGGACTGATGGGTTAGTCAAGGCTCTCTGGGCAGAGCCATGAGATCCTCTTGTCTCCACCTTTCTAGCTCAGGAATTATAAGCCTTTGTCATTGTTAAGTATTTTCTGGTCAACAAACCTCTCCGCTGACGCAAATAATCCCAATCAGACCAAATCAAACTGAATTAATAGATACCCAGCTTTAATGGGTGCCAGCACTTTTGGGTGACCCCTGGGAAAACACGGAGGTGAGGGGGAGGAAAACCCAAACGACCACCTGAGAGGGAAAAGAGGAGACCATGTGTCCATTCTCTGGGGGGCAGTTTAAATAGCCTGTGGGAGTGGTCTTGACCCTCCCTGGGGGAGGGGCCACTGTTTGGCAGGCTTTCTCAGAGGTGGAGTCTGGGCTGAGGCAGCTCCCAGGGGAGGGAGCTAGAAATGGAGCTAGAAATGGAGCTTTCTGCCCAGCATTCCAAAGATGGATGTCAGGGGCCTGGGGTGAAGCCCCTGACTAAATATTCCAGACTCTTTGTATAAAGGGGTGCAAGGGAGCTGAGGTAATGCTTCCGAACAAACATTTCAGACTCACTTTGGATAAAGGGACGCTGGCTCACGTCTGGCTACTTCCCACGGACATGGGTGACATGGGAGAGGGGAGAGCTAAGAGTTGGTGGGCTCATGCTCAGCAAGAGGTGTGGCTGGAGAGGCATCCGGTTTACTGCCATCCTGGAGACATCAGACATCTGCTCCTTGAGGGCGATGAGGACGCAGGTGGCTGAGTTCAATGGAGAGCTTGGTTAGCTGTTGTTTGATGAGTCCATTGGCCCTCTCCACCTTTCCCGAGGATTATGGGCGGTAGGGGATGTGGAATTTCCAGGAGATGTTGAGAGCTTCTGACACAAGCTCCATGACCCTGGAAGTGAAGGCTGGCCCATTGTCCATCTGGATGGTCCATGGGACACCAAACTGAGGAATGATGTGGTCCAGGAGTACCTGAGCCACCACATCTGCCATTTCCCTGGAGGCCGGAAACACTTCTATCCACCCTGTAAAAGTACACACAAGTGTTAGGAGATAACGGAGCTTTTTATGAGTAGGCATATGGGTGAAATCAACCTGCCAATCTTCTCCCGATTGATGTCCACGAAGCTGATGCAGAGACTGATGTATATGGAGAGCCCCCTGTGGATTGGCCTGGGTACACATCTGGCAGAAGGAGCCAAACTGTGAAATACAATCTCGGAGATGGGTGGGGTCAAAGAGGGGCTCTAAGAAATGGAACAAAGCTTTGGGGCCTATGTGTAAGGTCTGGAGATGATTGACAATACCTGGTCTTGAGGAAGGATGAGACAGTTATTTAAGTAGAACCTTCAATCCTTTGTATTTATGACCCCCTTTTTTATGAGCTTGGTTGGTAACAGGGCTGGTAGGAGGGAGTCAAGAACAAAATATGTTCTGTGGAATCAAAGGAGCCGGAGGCCAGTCCCCGGGCCACTGACTCAGCCTTGGCATTGCCTAAGGCCACTGGGTCCTTGGAGGACTGGTGTCCCTTACAGTGAATAATGGCTACTTCTGCAGGGAGCTGGAGGGCCTTCAAGAGGTTGACTACTACAAGGGGTCCGTTAACTATGGGAGTCCCTTGGTAGTAAGGAAGCCCCTTTCCTTCCAGAGTGCAGAATGGGTATGGGCTATTAAGAAGGCATATTTAGAGTCAGTATAGATATTAGCCCATTGGCCCTTAGCTATTTGGAGTGCCCTAGTCAAGGCAATTAATTCGGCCTTTTGTGAGGAGGTTCCCATTGGCAGTCAGTCACTTCAACTGTGTTAGTGGAAGTGACCACTGCATACGCTGCCTGGTGGTTTCCTGATTTGTCTATAAGGGAATTTCCATCAACAAACAGGGTGAGTTGGGGATTTCTAAGTGGCTGGTCTAGAAGACCTGGCTGAGATGAGTTTAAGGCCTCTACAGCCTCTGGGCAAGAGTGAGAGGAGGTACCAGAGTGGGAGGGAACAGGAAGGAGAGTTGTGGGGTTTAGGGCAGTACTGGAGACCAAAGTAATTTGAGGGTTTTCTAGAAACAGTAAGTGAAGGCCCAAGGAGAGAGAGAGGGGAATGACTCAGAAGGTCTGAGAGGCGGTGGGTGGAATATACTGTGATTGATCTGGACAGGGTGATCTCGAGAGCCTCCAGAGTGAGTTTAGCTGCTGCTGCCAGAGCTCTCAGGCATTGTTGCCATCCACAGATGGTGAGGTCCAGCTGTTGGGATAAAAAGGCGACAGCCCGATTCAAAGGCCCAGCCTGTTGGGTTAGAACACTCCTGACCTCTCATCTGCATAAAGGTGGTAAGGTCTCATGGGGTCTGCAAGAGCAGGGGCTGTCAGAAGGGCATCTCACAGTAGAAAGAAGTGGCGGCGGACGATGGCCGATGGCCAGGTGGGTGAGAGCCCCCGTGGGGGTCTCTCTGGCTGCCTGGTACCAAGGCTTGGCTGTAATGGCAAAGTCAGGGATCCAATGGTAGAAGAACCCGAGCAGGCCCCAAAATGAGAGAATCTGAGCCCCTATGGTTGGGGGCTGTAAATTCCACAGGGCCTGAACCCTGTCAGAGGTGAGGGTCTTAGACCCCAGACTGAGTTGAACACCCACATATACGACCGTGGGAAAGCACAACTGAGCCTTAGCTGGTAAGACTCAATATCTCAGGGATCCGAAATTCAGCACAGAGGTGGCCTGTTGGGACAGAGACAATGAAGGACTGCAGAGATCTCTCTTTCCTAGAACAGTTGGAATACTGATGGCTGCAGGCAGAGTCAGCCCTATGGGTCCACTGCTCCCACTGTCACTGCCCTCCAGCGTACGCTACTTTAATGCAGGGAAAACGGTGAGGACCAGAAGAATGGGCTCTTTGCTCATTCTGCTGAGCCAAAGCCTTAAAATGATAAAACATGGCGTTTGGCAGTGACTGGGTAAAGAAGAGGCTGAGAGGAAAGCAGATTTCCCTTGGTCCATTTGTTCTACACAAAGATTGCCTTTTCCTCAAGGATTGTGCCGTTCTCTCAGGAAGATCACAGGGTATTTCGATCTGGGCACTTTCATTTCAAAAGATAGTGTTCAACCCATATTTATAAAATATAATTCAGTCCAGCAGGAGTTGATTCATGTAGTCATTGAAACTAGTTTCAAGAAAATTGTGGCAAAATCCAACTAGCATATCTCTAACATCCCCACAGTTCTTTTTGTCTGCTTGTTTGGGTTTGTTGTTTTTGTTTTTTGAGACAGGACTTCTCTGTGTGTCTCTGGCTGTCCTGGAACTCACTTTGTAGACCAGGCTAGCCTGGAACTCAGAGAGAGCCACCTGCCTGTGTGCTGAGATTAAAGGTGTGTACCACCAATGCCTAGCTGCATCCCCACAGTTCTAAAAACAGAAAAGTAAATACCGTCCCATCCTTCTGACATTCTCATCCTCCTGGCCCTTCGATGGCCTTCTCAGGTGATCAGGGTATGGAGGTTAAAATGGTAGAAAGGGAGAGGTAGTGTCCTGAGGTGGGAGGTGGAGGGTGGGCGGTACCTGGATTTGGGTCTGTGTATCAAATCTTGTCAAGCCAAAGCCTCAGTCAAGTGTCTAATGTGCTTGATTGGCATGGCTGAAGAAAGGCCATATGCCATTTGTAGCTGGGGACCTGGGAGTAGCCCACGGGTTTAGCAGAGATACAGCTTGCCTCTTTTTGGCCACATGTGTCCTATTTCTGGATGTTGAGCCACTATTTCTGGTTTTTTGGTTTTGTTTTGTTTTTAATAAATAATGCCAGCCTCTGTAAAACTTACTTGTTCATGACTAGCACTGGGGGACTCATCATACAGGAAAATGCCTGTAACATGATCAAGTTTCTGAATATAACAGGCACCACAGGAGGCAGGAGAGTGGATGTGGGGACAGAGCTGAGTGATGAGCCCTTATGTGAAGACCCGAGTCTGCTCCTGGTGTGCTGTGAGCAGGGCTGCAGCAGCAGGAGGGGGAGGAGGAGTGGGGTTCAGAGGAGGAGCTAAACTTCCCTCAACTCTCCAGCGCTTGGATCACAGCTTACTATTAAAGGACTTAGATGTCATTGGATTTGCCCCCACTCCCACCAACTGCTTTTGCCACCATCTTTCTCTCCAAGTTCTTACAGCTTCCAAGAGAAATAACAGATTCCGAGGCTGTCGGCTCTCTGAGGGGAACTCTGAGCCTGGTGTCCTTTGCATCTTTCTCTATGTCACGTAATTGTCCCTTTGTGCTGCCGCGCTGTGTAGTCTCTAACATGGCTTTAATTTACTCTTTTACCTGTGGGTCTTTTTTCTTTTTCTTTTGTCTTTTGAGAGAGAATCTCAACTTGTAGCACAGGCTGGACTAGAGCTCATAACCCTTGTCCTTAGCCTTCTGAATTCTGGGATTACAGGCATATGCCACACTCCAAATTTAGGATTCTAAGTAAATAATAT